AAACAGCAGACTCATTTCAATCACAGCTGTTCAGGTGGAGGGGTTGAAAGACGCTCAAGTTTCGTGTCTAATGTACTATGTCCTTCCACGCGCGTTACCCTTCCGCAGCTCCCAAACTTTCACATTTCTTTTCTGATACTGCGAGTCACACCGCTCATTGCTTCTGGTAACCTCTTCCGGTGCAGGAAGCGACTCGTGGTGATCTTGCATGTTGGTTCGATCCATATACCCGTTAATCAAAAGCAAGCTTCCTTTCTCATAGTAGAATTCTTCCAATCTCCAATCATCGTCTCCAAATGGACTTCCAGTATCCTACCGAAATAATCGTACCGAGTGGTTGATAGTCATGTAGTAGCCTAAACCAGTGGTTCGCCTCGACGCGGGATAATGGTCGGCTGTACACCCACACGGCACGAGCTGGTATTTAAGCCGCACACCGATATGCCTTCCTTCAACCTCACTGGGTTGCATTGCCGATTCTAGAAACAGTCATCTTTCGGTATGCCGAGAATCAGCAGCATGACTCAGATGGCAAATCTCTCGTTGGCTGGCGGCAGTGGCGGCTTACGCTTAATCCGGCAGATGGGGTATTGTGTTACCGGAACCTTGACGCTTCAATGTCGGACTCGACTATCGCGGGAACTACACACCCTCAGAATCCGCCATTGCCCGCCACAAGTGGGGGGAAGCTGCCACAATGTTTCCAAGCGAAAGACATCCCACGAAAGGCGCCTCCTGTTTGGCCTACTAAGATAACCCGCTTGCCTCAGGGGACTGAACCTCTATCCGCAATGGACCTTGTACATGCTTAGGATCTAGAGCTTGTCTTCCAATCTCGATCCGTATTTCCTAAATTCCATGATGACATGGGTTATCGACAAGTCACCAACCATGTTGCATCGCATACAGCCAGCGCACGCAACAACGCGTCAGGAAGCAAATGTCAACTTTTCTCAGGAGCCTTGTATTTCATGGCAAAACCTAGAAGACCGTACCTAAAGCCTACCGATTACGGGCCGTGGCCGTTCGACCCACCCTTGGACGCTCCCGTGTGCACCGAACGCCGGTACGCCCCCCTACACTACACATATCCGTAAACAACATTGTCGCTCAGTACAACGGTCGTGAACAAGATGACTGCACGTGGGATGTGTCGGATGCATGTGGCGTCGGTCCCGTGCAGCTGCGTCAAGCATGAGCATGCATCAAACATTCGTTCACATGCGCGGCACGGTCATGGTGCGGGCTTTGACTGGTTGAACGTACGCAAGCGTGTCAGCAAGTTAAGCGTGCACGTGAGTTTATCACATACTCACTGTCCCAAGATGCTGGAAGCCATCACGGCCAGTTCTTGGAAGCAACTGTATACGATCAGCGGCCATGAGTGCAACAAAGCCTGGGCACAGCGCGTACCCAGGATTATCATCAATCCCAGGACCGCTGCAGGAAGAGCGGAGTGATGCAATGTGATGTGCAATTGCGTGCATAGAGGAAACCTGCATATGGTACCATAGGCAGACCTCGCCTTATCCTTGCTCCGCCAGCGCTCGACATCGTTGGTGTATATCAGTGATGGCCGGTGGATGACCAGAACTGAGTTGCGGCTGTTATGATCATTTCCAAGATCGGTTGAAGATGACATCCAGGCCGATCCAATCCAACACCATGCACAGCGCAAGGTTTGTATACGTGCGTTGTCTCCGGAAGATCACTTTCACTACAATCGGGTTTCCTACCATGCGCTTCGGGCGTACCTATCATTATAGTAGTATGGTCCTTCAAACTGCCGCGAATCTGTATCCTGGTTATTGCGGCCCAACTCGTTTTCCAATTGGATGTCACGGCTGGCAGCGCCGGCTGATTTGCCATTGTTACCGGTTATTCCATCCAGTAAGGGGCTGGCGCGTACCTCCAGTTGTATGCTGTTCACCGTTCGACGCACCAAGTGAGTTCTTGAGCCGCACCGCTGGGTCGCGATACGCAAAGTAATACGTGAGATGAGACACCAATATGTGTCTAGAGCAAAGCGCAGAAGTTGTAGGATGCTATCAAGGCTGCCGTCCATCATCAATGGCGGTAGAGACTATCGCTCTTGCTCGAGCAACACGTCTCCACCCAGCAAGAGTTGAAGGGCAGACACCTCTACTAGTGATCAAATACATCACCCCCTGAAAGTAGAGTTATGAGATTGCGCTGGCATACTGTTGCCCTTTTCACCCGTTCCGCGGAGATATAGGAACAAGATAAGGATTCAGACCATGAAGAGGAAACGACGTGCCTTTAGACTATAATTACTTCCCTTGTTTTAATAACAGGTGAGTCTATGGTCTGCTTGAATATCTGCAGTCAGGTCCTTTCTACAGCCTGAACATGCGCCAGCTTCTTGTGGTGACACAACGTGGCCCACAGTCTTTGTGTCTGAAGAGCCTTTGTCGTGACCAAGATAATTAGCTAAAGCTTTCCTGAATCGGGATGAAACCGACATCTTACAGCGAGATCTCGCAAGCACCAATCTCGACTGACGCGCGAGGATCATACACCGCCTGACAGGCAACAACGCAACATACGTTTAGTGCAGTCGATATCTAGCAGCTGGTGAGATCTGGTTGGCGTCGCTGAACGGACCCGGAAGCATGTCAGCAGACCGGTCGATGTAGTGCCACGGCATGTTGAAGACATCGTTGCTTGAATAGCTGAGCACGAGAGGATACAGCACCCGCATCACTGCGATCCCGTGGCATTGGATCTGGGCCGAGTGACGGATCGAGGATGAGTGTCAGTGACCAGGCTCACGGGAAAGCAACTCACGTATCGAGAGCCTTCGACTTGATGGCCAGGCAGCTAGCCCTCTTCAGATCAACCACACCTGCGCGGATATTGTGCTCCGATTTGCGTATTGGTATTGCTACTAACACACTATCGTAGTACGTCTATCTTCCCGAGAAGACGTGGCATCAAATGTGCCGAGAAAACTGTATAGACGGCTACATCCCGAAGAGTGAATCCTGGGTGCACCTCACATCATGCAGATGAAAAGATATCAGCCGCCAGAGAAGACGTGTCGCGAGGGCTCTGTACATTGTCAATCCGGCAAGGTTAGTATGGGTGTTGCACAGCGGCTCGAGTAGGCTGCGGAACGTTACTCCTCGCATCAGGCATGGTCGGGCAAGACACGCGTCGAGACCAAAGAAGGTATTTAGCTCCACGTGTGCCAACCCCTGTAGGTGCAAGTCGTATAGCACAGGTCTGGTTCTTATTCCGACGTCGTGATATAGGTCGTGCTTCACACGGCAGTCGCTAAGACATCGCCCGCATAGTTTTCAGCATGCGAGCGGTTCACCTTGGTTTGCGCGGCATAAAATCGAGAAACGAGAGGACGATGTGACTTGCTGCGCGTCCGTGTAAACCACCATGACTGAGACTGTACTGTAGAGACTTTCGAGTGGATGCAAAGCCGAGAGACGATGCAGGTTGGATGGCTTGTTGCAGAATCCACCCAGGAAGTATGCGCCAGCCTCCAATAATAATTCTATCAGCCTTTCGAGGTCTTCAGTTTGTCTGGTAAGCAAAGACATCTCATGACCGAAGAGCGGCGTTGACAGGTGTTTGTGTCACGTGGTGGCCAGGAGAGCCCCACTAAAGATTCGCTCGTGCCCAGATTCCACTCAACCGAAGTGTCTGTGATCTGGAACGCTTTCTCGACAAGATGCACAACTGGCGCACAACCAGGGACGACTCGCTGGCAGATTGCTCTGCACATGAATCGCGTCGCTGAGATGGTCCAGTTATGGTGCCACGACATCCGTCGCACGCTTCACTGCGCTACGCTGCACCTCCAAGCCAGCCAAGTCAGCGACTGTTTTTGCTTGGGTTGACCGCAAACAAGCGCAACAAAGAACAGAGAGCTGGCACTTGTGGCGGAGTTGATCTCATCCTACGCTGGCCGTCATGGGAGATTTCCGGTTGGCGAGTGTGGGAAATTAAATGTGGAAAGGAGCCCTTGCTAAATGGTTCGAACTACCGGCTTTCTGCAACATTGCGACAGCGCACCGGCCTGGACCTCGCACTTGTCGATGCATGTTCCTGCTACACATGCTCGACCGGTCATCATCACAAGGATGGCGCGAATGGACGGCCCCAACGGAATCGTGACAGCTGTCTTACGACTTGTCCTCGCAGCATGTCTGACTGTGAATCAACGATTCAACAGCTCGTCGCAGGTGATCGTGCTCTGGAAGAGGTGACGAGGCCTGGACACAGCCCCTATTCGAGCCTTGCGAAGGGGATCGCTTAAGACAATGGCCAGGCTCGCCAAGCGGACTCATCTCGGGTTTCTGCACCACCAACCTGAGGCTCACAAGTTCTGTACTGCGATGAAGGAGGGGCGCCCAGCTTCATTGGTGCAGCCAAATAACAACTTCGCATCTCTGTTGTAAGCAGAGTAGCATGCGCCCAGGAAGTTGCTTCATTCCCAGCCGTAAATCTCTGCAGCCAATGCTGGCCAGAAGGAAGACAATGCCGATCGGCGACATCCCTGCTGTTATTTACTCTGCTTTCGTACTTTACCCGACATGAGATGGCCAAAGTTACGACCATTGCCCTGACGATCAGGCACCGCACTCGTCCGATTGGATCGCCCCTTGCCCATCCTGTCGAGAACCTATCTGATCGCGGCTAGCATGCTGTCCGTGCCTGTTCTCCGGACTAGCCACGACGTTTGGCCCCGTCCCAAACAAGTCCACGCCGTGGCGACGATTAGTTCCATGGCGGACGGGCTTCGAAGTGGGCCTGGGCTGCGTGGACTAGGATGCAGCCATCTTATTTACTTGCGCATCCCCCAGGTCCCAAACTCCTTCTCTACCGCTCAGGAAAGACTTCGTCACCCACGTTCATTCGCTGAATAACTTCACTCTTTTAGGTATTCAGCCGACATTCCTTCGATCGCTTCTTTCGAGTCTTCACCTTTGCGCCAAGTACTATACCGGTCCAACTCGACGATAATGCAGCTCATTACCCTCCTTTCGGCGGCCTCGGCCATGGTCGCGACCACTTCCGCCACCTCCCTTAGAAGCGCTATCGCTTTGACCAAGGACTGCGATACCAGCAAGCCCTACGCGCGCGTTATCAACCGTTGCGACTACGACGTGCATCTTTGGTCCGTCTACAAAGGCGATGGCTGCCCCGAAGATGGCATGGTCACGCTAAAGACCGGCGAGACCTATTCGGAGAACTATCCGGACCCTGAGCACGGTGACGGCAAGACGGGTGTCTCTATCAAGATCTCCAAGACCAAACAGTGCAAAGGAGTCGACATCACTCAGTTGGAGTACTTCCGCAAGATGGATGGCCCAGTGGACTTCCGATACAACTACCTCGATGTCTCCTACGTCGACTGCCTTGATGGTGACTGCCCGGCAAGGAACGACGGATACTACCTCAAAGCCGGTACCCAGAGTGATGTGAATATCGCATCTGCTGCCAACACCTTCTGCCCAATCTTGGCCTGCCACGATAAAGCTTCTTGCGACAAGGTCTCTTACGTCCTTCCCGACGACGTTCAGACCAAGTCCTGCTACAACGACCAAAACATGGACTTCTACATGTGCGGTGGCGAGGCGCCTTCCGGAGACTACGGATCTTCTCCCAGCGAGTCTGAGTCTTCTGCTGAACCTTCCACAAGCTCCAGCAAGCAGGCCGAGTACTCCGCTGTCAAGCCTACTTCCACCGCTGCTTCCTACGAAGACTCGTACACTGCCGATATCGAAGTGGCTGCTGCCGCAGTCACCCCTGCGCCCGAGAAGCAGGACGACAAGCCCTACCACAAGCTTACCAAGACTGTCTACGTCACCGCGGTCGAGTATGTCAACGCAAAGAGGCACGCTCATGACCATGCCCGCCGCCACCAGCCTTTCCACGCATAAGCCACCCGAATATTTGTTTACTGTGGCATTGGTGCCTAAGGATTACTTGGTTCTACATTCTACCAGTCCATAATTCAGGATACCAATTTCGCGTTATACCCAGGGGAGATCAGGAAGAGGAGATCAGAGTTGAAATCCCTCGAGTAATGCCAGAGGTAGACAGCGTCGCAGGCTCAATCTATTCATTTCTTCACTACGTTATCGACGCGCACCTGTCATGCTTGATCTCGTCATCTTTGCTCTCACCTCTCACCTTCCAAACTCCCTAAACGACACCATGGGTGCGGTACTTGGCTATTCTGGACGCTGGCGCATGTGCTATTTTTTGGTTGCACGTTCTTTCTCACGAAGTCATGATATCGGATACCATTAGGGATTCCATGCCCCTTGGCGGGCTATACTTGTTTCAGTCATTCGCTTCGTCAAGGACACTTATTTCCTTTTCTCTTAACACGGGCGTGGGGTTGTATGTGCAGACGTCCTGGCTTGCTGACCCTGTTCCTAGCCTGATAATAGATTAATTCGCTATCATCTTGTACTTGGTCTTTGACCGATTCGACTTTGTCGCATGTGATCTGTCTACACACGTATCTGAATTGCGTGACACTACTCGTTACCTTGAACTTGGCACATCATGCCCACAAGCATTCGCGCAGATTTCTCGGTGGAGTCGTTTACTTTTGGTGTTGCAGCAGCCGAGCAAGACTAGTTTCAAGCTGGGTCTTGATGTGAAGTCAAAGTCTTGAAACATTGTTGCATGCTTATTCAACTGCGCCGCCTGCTGGTGCGTTTTGACCATGCGATCACCTTACGTCCCGCTGTAGTATCACGCAGGCCAGAGCCTGTTCTGAGCGTTATGTCCATCGAGCTTTTGCATCGAAGGATTTTATGGTCATCGGTGCCGAGCAAACATGTTCGCAAAACCAATTCTTGTCTTAAGGACCACCGTGCAGCGCTCCCACTACGTGGCGCATTTCTCGCACCTTGATCATTGCCGTGACTGACAGCGGCGCGACTAAAGCCGGTCATTCCACACAGCCTTAGCTTCGTTTCGAGCCATGGTTACATTCTACGTGCTATCAGCACTTTTACCACTTCCAAGGCTTTCGGCATCTAGGCGTTCAGGTGCGCTTTCCGCGAACTGTGAGTCGATGTTCATTGCGTCACTCCTCGGCCATTGGAACAGCTTTTAGTTCGCCCAACACTGTTGGTTCCTTGCAGCATGCAGCACCAAGACGACCGTTGGAGAGCCGCCAATCACCCCAGCGTTTGGATCTCATTGTGGGCTAACTACTGCCCCGCGTCAAATGCGAACCGACTTCTGGATAGCCATGCTTGCGCCACCTTGTGTCTAGCCACACAACATGCTCGCTCTTTTGTAATCGCGCACAAGCTCAGCAGAATTTGCACCAGGTTTTTGCATCGTTATGCAGTAGTCGGCCTTCTAGAACAATTCCATGTTGATTACTCTGCTCCACAGCGTCACGCTTCTCCACTCCTCTGTCCACATGAACGCAAAGTCCCCGCTGTGTACTCATGCCATGGTCCACATCGATGAGATGCAACTCGATACGACTCGCGCAGACGCCATCGGGCCGCCTTGACCGTCCTAGTTCGCTATTTCTGCGGTTGGACTAATCGCAAAGTTGCTGGAGTGCAAGAAAACTCCGGCTTAGTGGACCAGAGCATTCTGGATTGTCGACACGGCTTTCGACGGTAGCCATCGGTGCCTTTGAGGCACCCGCTGGGTCCTGATTGCACAGTTCTTTGGAAGACTGGGACGGGCCTACGGACATGCGAAGTACACGGCACCAGGTGTCTGTTGGGGTTTCGAGCCTTCGCTCCCATGGAACAAAAAAAAAGTACACGGCATCTCGGCAGAGACATGCCTCTTGACTATCTAGCGCTACCTTCCCTAGGGCTCGATGTCCACGTTTGTCACCTCTACCATAGCTTTGCTGTAAAAAAACACGATTCCTCTCTAATACTACGGTTGAGCTTTTCTCCACGGAATCCAACCCCGCCTCGAACCACCCTGCGCATGCCAACCGGTCTTCGGGGCGTCTACCCACTCTGCTGCATCACTGCCCCCAACAACCTCAATACCCCAACGCACCTCTCCGTCTCTGTCCTTGAACCACGCTAACATAGTTTTGATGTCATTCGCTTTTTTGAGTGCCACACCTCGTTCTTCTACTAATCGCAGAAGATGATCGCTTCCTGCGACAAGTACAAGTACGTCGGCGATGAGTTGCACGTCGCGAATCAAAGGACCCGTGTATTTTCGCTGTAGAAAACTGACCACGGCTGTAGTGCCTATAAGCCAGATGATGATCGCCACCGATAGATATGTAGCGATTGCATTCATATGAAGAACCTGGGTTCGGTGGGATACCAATGCCTCAACTGTTCGGTTGGTGCGGAGACTTTCGTACTTGCGTCGCGGAAGAACCCTACCATCCCGTGTTACTGGCTCTCCTAATGCTTGTGTACTGTTGTCGCCGATTTTTTGATACCCCCAACCGCCTTGCTCTAACGATAGACCATTGCTGATGAAGTGTTGGAAGAACGTTTGGAAGGTATGGTTTGCGTGGGTGACAAGGGTTGCGTAGTCGAGCAAAGCGCGCGGATTCTTGTTGGCGAGGCTGTACATGCTGTATGTCATCAGGTCCATGTTCATACCGGTTTCAGGGTCGCGCATGACAAAGGCATTATCGCTAGGGTCTTCCGTGGGTGACGTCCCCAGCGGACCGCCGAAATACGAGTCAGCGGCTTTTAACATGGATCCCATGAATAAGATTCCATAACTCGTGGTGATGTTCAACGGCCCTCGGTATTCTTCATCATATTGCTGCGTTGCGTTGCCATGGGTCAGCGCGTGTCGGACAAACACTTCGGACCAGGCTGATTTTGCAGGGCCGACAGAACTGATGATCTCGTATGATTGAATCACGCCCGTTTTCACGTCCACAACCACTTTGGCGTCTGACGTCTCCACTATCGGCATACAGCGAGCGGCTTGTAGGTCCGGTGCATCTTTGAAGAGCAGCATTTGTCCTTGTAATTTGCTTTTACCTGGGACTGTGACAGGCTTACCAACGATCCATTTTGTAACGAATGGAACTGGCCACTGCTTGTCTGTGTTTGGGAAATTTTGGACGTTTACTGGCGACCAGTATCCTGCCACTGCTGAATCCGGATCGTCCTTGGTTCCGTTCGAGCAACATGACAGCATAGCGGTGGTGGCAAATGCTGAAGTATTCGACGGGCTATCGCCAAATATCTCACTGTTCAGAGAATAGTATCTTTCCAGGCCCTCCAAATCTGTCTGTCGGGGGGAATCTCGGGAACGCTGGATTTCATCGGTATGAATGAGCCAAGTCGATGTGTTGGCTACCTCAGGTATTTGTTCGCATTCTAGCCGAGCTCGCAGAGCAGATGTCGTGATTGTTGCGTTGTCCTGGAACGTCATCGTTTCTTTGGCATCCAATTGGGAAATGCTGGTAAGATCGAGAGGTATGAAGCTCCAATCATCTTGAGTCCAAGAAGGCTTAGTGCCGTTGAGTGACAGTTGAATGGCAGCGCCGGGTAGCCAATTTTTAGACGGGTTCATCAGAAGATTGTCGAGTACTTCGAATGGAGGCAGACTCGGACGGGGTTCTGCCGTTCGCCCTTCGTAGGTCTTCACCGTAGTTATAATGGGTATCTCTCGAGGTTCTAGCGTTCTTTCGAGAATTTCTCGATGAGACACGTTCGCAGCTTGTCGTTCGAAGAGCGCAGACATCGAAACGGTGACTGGAAATTTGAGGTTAGCGAGTTAGACAACCATCGATCGCGAGCATCTTACGAATTTGACAAAGAACGCTTCCAGTAGCGACCAGGAACAGCATCCAATGCTTGTTGCGGGCAGCCTTGATAGCCGCACCAGCCCAGGTTTTGGAACGGTATGTAAGACCCGCTCCGTTGGAAATTGGTGTTGGCCGTTGCGACATCGCAAAATAGGGTTGGAGGATTCTGAAAGTTGAATCTAATTGATCCCACCACAAGCCGATCACAATACTGACAACTGTGGGTGCGATAGAGATAGGGGCAAAGGTGGAGAAGCTCAACCCCAACTTAGAAACATCAGCTTCGTAAACGAATGCAAGCTGAGAAAGTCGAGATCTCGCGGAGAATGCGTTCAGCACTAACACAGCAACCAAGATAACGACGAGGAAGCTTGAAAGAGCGAACAGCATGCGTAGTCGGATGACCAAAGGCTGCCAGTAGCTTGAAGGTTCAGTGCTTGGGGAAGCTACTCAACACATTGATTAGCTACAATTTTAATCGTTTGTCAGTAGCGACTTACATGTTGTTGCGAGGTTACCACTGCTTGCAGTATGTATAGCACCATCCTGCATGAAGAACGTGTCATACCTTATTCGTTGTTGAAAATCGAGATGCGCTATACGATGACCCTCCCGGAATGTTAATGATCGTGTCGGCTGATGTTGAACTAACATAGCATGTCCAAGGGTACTCCCGGGGTCCATGCTGAGATCGAGTGGCCGAAATGAAAGTCGTGAGACCCATAGTACCAGGATGAGTAGCAAGAAGGAAACCAAAAAAAGGGTAGCCAAAGCGATTCCGATCTCTCGAAGTACCATGATTCTGTTTTCGACCATTGTTGCCTTCCCTTTCGTAAGCTCGACGCTTGTTACGTCGGGGTCATTCAGGGCCTCGCGAAGACACTCCGTAAAGAACCTTCCTTTGACTCTTGCTGCGCGGGATGCAAGCTCCTTGTCATACAACATTTCGGTAACGTTGAAATCATAGAGGGCGCCGAGCAGCGGACCAAGCCCAAAGAACATTGGAGCGTTAACGGTCGTGTTTGGATCAGAGTAAGGACTCAAAGAGCCACCGATAGCACGATCTGCATCAGACGACATGCTTTTGGCGTTGAAATAGTCTTTCCAAGTGTCTTGTAGTGCCATCTCTTCGAATTTGGGAATGTCTAGCATAGCTTTCGTAATCGACTCGGGCTGGATGTGGTCCGACTCCATGAATGTAATGTTCGGCTCTCTACCGTGGCCTATCGAGGCAGTCATGTTGTGTGTTAATATAGAATACTGAGATTTGCAAAGCAATGCCTTCATGCGAAAGTCAGGCGAGCGTTGATAGGTCCTGTTGGTCTCAATTCCTACCGTTGCAGCACTGAGCTCCAACTTGATGGGCGTGGTCCATGGGGTGTTTAGAATGATAATGTCGCGATCTGCACATTCTGGAGAGGCGTAGTGGCGCGCAAAAGGACTGGTCGAAGAGACGTTGGCGGCAAACGGGATTCTACCGAGAGGAAGCGTACCAGACTTGATGTAGAATGTAGAAGTGTTTGACCACGTCAAACCTCCCCTCATTGCCAGCTCAGCCGCAGGGTGGACGGTCGCCTCGTATCTGCAACCATCGTCTGAGGCTAAGGCAAAAGTTACCATGGGTTCTACGCCCTTATATGGCCCGTGACCCATGATATCGTACCCGCTATATTCCTTCGGTGCAAGATCAGCGCTTTCTAATGTCATGTCCCGACAACCCAGGTCCGCATGCATTGTCGTTGTCTCTGCCGTCCAAGAGTCGAATCGTGATACCAGATCGGGGCCGAGCTGTACTGGATCTGTAGATGGCCAATTCGGAAAGGTGATGGAAGTATCCTTTATCCATGCAGAAGTAGAGAGATCTCTCATCAGCGCAGACGTAGTCCTGAAGTAGGCTTCTCTACTAGCGACAATGGGCAGCTGGAGGCCAATCTTGGGAACGCTTCTGCGGATGTCAAGCGTTTTGGTGATTACAATCTCTTCAGATGTAAGGAGGGCCGATGACAAGGGAGAAATCGCGAGGAGGGCCACCACATTGATTATCGCCGTGCAAATGAGACACCAACTGGTTTTACCGACCGACTTGCGCTTGAGAACGATATCCAGTAAGATAGCCCACCAGGCCCTGGGCGTTTGGAGCACTGTTCCGAAGGCGCTGGCGCCTTCTGAAGGTGCTCGAGCTAATCGAGCGAACGGCTCCGTTCTCTTGGCATCTTCAAATAGGATAACCGTGGATTGTGTGTACAGCACTGCTAGCAGAGTTGGAGTGAAGCGCCATCCAAACAGTACTGCAGAAGATCCGTCGTCGGCACCGAGTCCGTAGTGGTGTTGCGAGTACCAAACAAGTAGCGATATTGTTATGCCCAGGATGGCGGTGGCACTTATCGGGATCAATAGAGAATACCATCTAAAGGTGAATGGCAGCCAGCTCCCTTTCCGATCCGTTGGAGCTTGTGCTGGCAAGTTTGTTAGCCGCCTAGATCTTCAGAGGTAATTGGTTACTAACCTGTGCCCAAAGTCATGGTATCTGTCGTAGACTGAGCAGACGATTCCGCTTGGACTGAAGGCACATGACCTCCTAATGTTCGATCCATAACGATAGATGCTCCAAGTGCGCTCAAGCGGGGTTGGCCCAAAAGAAAACTTACAGCGACTCGGTGGCTGTATCCAAGGTTATCGCACAGAGAAGCGCATACATAGAGGCTACTTAAGCCATCTTCGTCTGCTGTTCAAGCTGTACCTGCATCGATCGTCCGCGCAGATAGATTGCGGCACAGCACCGCTGATTCCACTTTCATACTAAATCCGGTACCGACATAGCGGATGCGCAGAGTTCTTGAGGCTATCGTGCAATAACATAGTTGGCTAAGCGCCCGGGTGGACATTGGGATTGTTGCAGCGGTTCGCGCCAATACTTCAGCGTTAAGCACGCGCCGCGGTGGAGGGATCTTCCGTAAAACCTTCGAATGGGCGGCAGGATCTGGGATCCCCGTTGCGCATGACAGAGAACCGGTCGAAACGCCAGGTAAAAGAATGCAGGTAGACGCGCGATTGTCATATGAAGTGAAAGCCTGCCCCGAACCTTCCGTCGCGTCTTCCGTTCCCCTCACGGGTGGGAGCTCCCGTTCTTCACGTGGGGGCCAACTAACTGTATCGGGCGTAGCGTCGCGATTGTGATAGGGACAAAATCGATCCAACCATACCTAGGTACGTGATGAATCTGAAGGCGCTGTAGCATGAAACAATTACCCCGTTTATCTTCTCTACATGTGCGAAAAAAAAAATTAAGTTCTGGTGTTGAAGCCAGACACATTGTAGCTGGAGGTTTGGCCACCTGGACAAGATCCAATGCCTACTAAGCTAGACTCTCGCTAAAGCTGAAAGGGAGAAGGACGCGATGTAGACAAGCGTGTTGTATATTTGAAATAATGACGTCTCAATAGATGGGATGAGCAGTGTCTGCCTAGGTACCTTCCAAGTTTCTCTTTACCAGAGATTTGAGCAAGAGTTATGGTTCGAGAACATTCGTGGAGGCGCATCTTCAAGATGGAAAAGACCGATGACGTTTCATTCAGTCCAATTTCTAGCCGGTTGTCCAAGGTGTTTTTATATCTCAAGAGTCACTGTTCAAGGTGCACCGCGTGCGACTACCTGTCGACTCAAATACCTCGGTACCCCTGCCTTACCTACAGCCTTTCCCCTACCCCGTTGTCTACGCCAGGCCGCTGCCGCCCGTCACTTACATGCGTAGCGAGATTCCAGCAACTTACGACTCCGAAGAACATCGGTCCGCAACGCGTCGTCTATCTTCGCCTACCCCTCTCGAACGCTACTCCCAATGCAGCGCCATCAAGCGAGTCTGCACGCGAGTGATTGGTGGGTGCCTTTCTACACTCTACCCATTATACCCGTGTTATCAGAAACAGGGGTGAGCGAGAAGGAGCATTCGGGCATGTGGTGGGCTCAGGCGCCCTCGCAAGGGTAGCCGATTCATAGCATGTGCAGAACCTTAGGTACCTACGTACTTGGATACGTGGCTAACGTGTCGACAAAGACAAATCAACGTAGAGGGCGGAACATCAGCCACGTCCGCTTCGAAATCTGTGGGTTTGATGTGCGAATGGTATATTCCTCGCGTATCCATGTGTCTTCAGATTGGGCGACTTACAGCGCCAGGATGTTGCTTCGGATCGCAACGTTCGCTTACCCTGGTTGCTGCACATTCGCATCATTTGCCAAAGTGTACGATGAAGTCAAGACGGTATTTGCATCCGCTTTCTTTCAAATTTCTATCGCTCGTTCTGGCCACCAGCTTCTTTGACGACTGAAAATACATGTACTCAACTACTTGGACGACAGTGTCCTGAAGATTGCAAACGGGAGAGGGGAATGTCAGATAATGTAAGCTTACACCATGCTCGACTCTATGTCGTGGAACTCAGTTTTGCGCGCCCTTTCGCATCCGATCTAAGCGGTACAGCGACATCGTTACACCGCCCGCTACACTTAGCCGCACGCAATTAACCGATGGTCATGCGTGAACAGCGACCTCGGGAGCGTTTTTCTCACTATACTCAATGTTTCGTAGTACAGAACCCGAACGCCTTACGCCTTGAATTCCAACACCTGAGAACCAAAAACACGATACCCTTCCGCCCGGAACTTCATTCTTATAGCAAAATGTGTTGCTCGGCACTCGATTCGCTTGTAGCAAGGCGCTACGAGAGCTCGCTCGTAGGATTTAGCTGCCTCGCTAGTACGATTCAGATAGCTGCGAGGTCGTTGAGTGCACAGCTCAGCTCTCGTCTCGCACCGATCTCATCAATGCCGTCATGCGGCCGGTAATGGTGTGCGACGATCCGCACCGTGGCCCGGTAAGTCTTGTACCTATTACGGTCAGCATTGCGGCCTTCTAATTACCCGCACTTGGTACTTACATCAGCATCCTGACCCTCGCGCCCCCAGTCTTCACAGGGTAATCTCCCAAGCCGGCGAAGAACGCTTCATTGCCATCCGCGATACCGCCGCTCATGAGAGGGTCGCCCCAGATGACGTTCGAAAATCCGACAAGACCTATGACCTGCTTGGTACGTTCGTCGATGAGCACGTTCTCCGGGTCGCAGAGATTGAGCGCTACAAGGCGCGGTTCGGTAACTTCTTCCAGGCAGTGTGCGTGTTTGCCAACCCAGAAACGTATACTTTCGGAGTGTGCGTTAACAAGCATATCCTCAGCATCCCGTAGTGCGGCTTCGAGGAGAGCAAAGAAAGCCTCGCGCCAGGAGTTGCTGCCCTTTTTGACGAAGACACGGTGTGTCATACCAAATTGGGTGGCAGATAGTGCAGTCAGAGCGCGGACATGTGTGCCTAGTGTGTGATCGATGGAGTTTCTCTCGCTGGTCGAGATGTATGGCGCGATTTCCGAGAGCTTGCGACCAGGCATGTGGCTCATCATAAGAAATGGTGCACCAAGCGGTCCACCATGGCTATCATACTTGATGATTTGAGGCACAGGTACTTGTGTATACTCGTGCAATGTCTCGAGTGCTTTGCGTTCTGTCTCCAGGAAGTGCTTCTCATGCCGGAGGAGTCGGATGTTATAAGCTGGTGGGCATTTGAGTATCAAACAGCTGCCATCTTGAAGTCTTGCGAGATAAACCTGGTGTATGCACCCTTGCTGAACTTCAATTTGCTGAACATTGATTCTTGAGGACCGAAAGACCGCTCTGATGACTCTTTGTATGCTGGGAAAGTCGACTGTTGTGATAGCAGTCCGCGAAGATGCTGATGAAGACGAAGATGAAGACGAAGTGGTCGAAGAGGGCCGAACGGGCTTTAGAGCGTACGTTCCACGGCTCATACTGGTGAGGGGAAAGATTGCAACATCCAGTGGGGGAAGATGCATTATGAAGGGCCGAGCAGCGACGTCCTAGATTCCGGCGGGGAGCTTAGCGTGATTCGAAAGTGGAGGCCTGGAGCTGACTGAATGCTGCATGTCGAGGACATCGCTATGCATTAAGAATGTTTTGACGATTGCGCAAACAAAGTCAAGGCCAGCTCTTTTCTCATGGAATCATGGATGCTCGATCTGAACGCAAAAATGTCCCGACGAATGTCGGAAACAAAAGCATAGTAACGCCAGCCCGAGCAAGACCGACTTTGATAGATCTCAATTGATGAAGCCATCTCCTTGGTTCGGCCATACCGAATCGCATGACAGTGGACACTTAGTAGCACATCTG